GGTCGGAGTTCTGTCTCCAGTGCGTCCTTTAATCTCTCCAGGATGATGCGACTCAGGATTTTACTTGGCGTCGACAGGAGCATGATTCCTCGCCAGTTCTTGCAGAGTCCTAAGTCGCCCTTCTTTGGTAGTTTCACGAGGTAACCTTTCCTCCAGTCAGTAGGCACCTTTCCCTCCTTCCAGACCTTTTGCAATAATGGAGTCAGCATGTCTGCTGTCGTCTCTGGGTCTGCTTTCAGTGCTTCAGGGGGTATTCCATCTGGTCCGGCTGCTTTTCCAGCTTTCAGAAGTTTGATTGCATTCAAGACTTCAGCTCTCGTTGGAGGATTGGTGTCAACTTGCAGTTGTGTGCGCGCTGTTGTTGGTATTTCTGGACGGGTTGCAGGTGATGGTCGGTTCAAGAGTCCTTTGAAGTGATCCGCCCATTGTTTAATCTGTTTTTCTTCCTTGGTAATTGGGTTCCCTTGGCTGTCTTTTATAGGTTTCGCTTGTGTTGATCTCTTCCCGGATAGAGATTTGGTTATCTGATATAGTGTCCTCAGGTCCCTTTTGCCTGCTGCCTTCTCAGCTTCAGTGGCAGATTGTCGTAGAATCGTCTTTTGTCCTTCCTAGCACTCTTCTTCACTTCTTTGTCCAGTGCTTTGTAAGTTGAGCTCATCGTCTCCTTCTCCTGTCCGTCCTTGCATTGAATCATTTTCTCTTTCACCATTCTCCTCTCTTCTATTAATTTCCAAGTGTCCGTTGAGAGCCATTCCTTGTCTTGTCTCTTCTTTCTTCCTAGAACCGTTGAACACGTTTCGTTGAGAATCGCCTTCAGAGACTTCCAATGTTCTTCCACGCATGATTCTTCAGTGATGTCGCGTAGTGTTTCCTGCTTTGCTCTGACAGTTGCAGTGAAAGTGTCTTTTGTGGTTGTGTCCTTCAGTAATTGAGTGTTGAACTTGCATTGTGGCCTATCCCCAGCTATCCTCGAGGCTTTTAGTTTCACCTTGAAAGTCCCTTCTACTAGATAGTGGTCTGAACCCACATCTGCTCCTCTCCTTGACCTTGTGTCCAGTAGGCTCCGTCTCCACTTTCTTGAAATTGAGATGAAGTCTATTTGGTTCTTGGTGTTTCCATCTGGTGAAATCCATGTCGTCTTGTGTATATCCTTGTGTTTGAACACACTACCGCCAATCACCAAATCATTGAAGGCGCAGAAGTCTGAGAAGAGTTCACCATTGTCGTTCATTTCACCGAGGGCCTCACGACCCATGGTGAGTTCTCTTCCTGTGTTGTCTCCTCCCAGCTTCGCATTCATGTCGCCCATCAGGATTTTGATATCGCCATTTGGGACGTTGTCCATTATTGCTTGTAGTTGTCTGTAGAACGCCTCCTTCTTCTCTTGTTCTGAGACGTTTGTAGGCGCATAGCATTGAATGACTGTAACTTTCCTTCCTTTTGAGTTGAACCTGGCTGTCATTATCCTGGAGGAGATTGGTTCCCACTGCATGAGAGCTTTGGTTGCTGTTGGTGACATCATGATGGCCACTCCCTCGGTGTGCTCATGGTTGTCCTCTGGGTGGCCGGAATAGATTACTGTCTCTCCAGTAGGTAGTTGGCACCTTCCAGTTCCGTTCCATCTGCTTCCGCAGATTCCCAACACTTCTATTCTGTACCTTCTCATTTCAGCGGCTATCTGGGCAGCCTTTCCAGTTTCGTACATTGTACGAACATTCCAGGTACCCATCCTTACTTTTGCTTTCATCGAAAGAAGGCACATCGGCTGACTGGCTTCCCGAAGGCTTTCACCAGCCTGCGTCATTTCACTTCCCCGATTCCAGCGAAAAGTAAGGCTATTGCTTATGTTTTTAGAATTTTTAATATATTTATTCGTTGAAGTTTCTGTAGCGATTTGGTTGTTTTACAGGGGTGGAGTTGCTAGCACCACGCCCCAACCCTCCCTCTTTACCCGGGCTTGGGACCGGCGAGAAAACTGGTAAGCTAGTAGCCTAGCAAGCGAGTATCTGGCGAGGTTTTCACACCACGATACACCCATTGACTGGGTATTTGTTTTCAGGAAAATCAAACACACGCATCCTTGCCTCTTTCGAGACGAGAACGGCATGCAGGATCAATCTGTGGCGTAACCACTCGAGAGCCCTCTCCTTCAGTGGACCTCGGTGTGAAGTAATTCTGTCATGGGTTTTCAAACAGTGACCAGAAACCTATCTTTTGTCTCTCTTCTTCTACAATTCACCTAAACCGCGCATTTCTACACTCAGCTCACTTATGTCTGATACACATCTACGATGTCACTCCAAATGGTGTCAATACTAATAGAAAATCTTGTTGAAAACATACTGACAGAAACATCACACTAGTTTTCAACCAGAGTTTGCCAATCATCGCCTGCCTACAGCTATGACAGCTAAACCTCTTTCAGATAATCAGCTTTATTTCCACAATGATTATAGCTACAATTATTACTATTGTCTTCTTGATTTAAAGTCATCCACAAGGCGAAACATAATTCGCCGAAATCGCTACGTATCCGACTCATCTGTATTGCTGAAGACAACTTTGACCATCGAATTAGAAATGCCAGCCAGATATCTGTATACCAGATAAGTTGATTCAACCATTCCAACTTGCAGAGTCAAATGCCTCCTTGGTAATCCGCATTTCATATTTGAATCTACTCATTTTTCGTTCTCCTTGCTTATTCAGTTTGAATACTCTTCCTTTATCATCTCAAATGTCACTGTTATCATTCTCACTCTGAATTGTCCCCGGGATCATTTCACTCGTTCCACTTATCGTTTCAGATCAATTTCATTTTGCAAAGTTGAATTCTATGTTATCAAATTTTAAAAAGTGTCACGTAAAGTTTTTATTTTAAGTCTATTTTCCTATTTATCCCATAATTTAAACCCATTCCATGTTCTCTATATCCTACAAATTGTTCCAAATATAACAGTTGTTGTTTTGTCAGCTCACATTGAACTATGATCACGATCACAAACATTATAATTTTAACTGCATTTCATACTACTGCATACTGTTTTGCCCGCATAGATTGTCACCATCCCGCAATACACATCCACCTCGCCACTAGAGCTCAAACCCAGCAAATTCCAGGCACGAGCCAAGCTAGCTTCCTTGTAGACCATTAAACCACTCTCTCGGACGCGCCATCCAATGACTAGTCAGTCGATGAATTCTAACTTCCGAAAATTCGTGATATAAATTGAGTGCGAACGCAAACCAATATCACTGGCGAGTAACTGTCCTATGACCTGTTTAAGTTGACTCTGCTGGTTACGATTTCTCACTAGAACCTGAGGAGCTCCCTGCATAGGGCCAGTTATCATTGAATATCTGATCATATATCGAGTGTTGGCTAGCAGGGATTTGATTGGTCACGAAACTGGTCACGAGTTGACGCCTGTTAGAGTGATTATTTTGTCGGTGCACGAGAGCATGATGGCACTCGAATAACCACCGCCTAATAATCGTGAATTTCACCCTACATTCGTAAATGATAACTCCTGAAGCACTGCTCAGTGAGCAACATGCAGAATATTCACAGCGAAACATCATCTTGCTTATTACTCTACAATTGTTTCCCCTCGATCTCCTCATATCTACTTAGATATGTCCAAAATACGTCCACTCAAAATAATTTCACTTTTGTCAGTTATTGTGCAATCACTCTCATGCAACAACTTTCCTCATCTCACAATTCAATAAATCTTTCTCATATATCAGTCGTCACCTTATTCGTCTTATCATATTCACTCAACTCACAAATTACTGTCAGATTCTCTTCAGATAAATAAATAACTACGAGTGATCTTGTGAGTTCAGAGGATTTCAAGGAGAATCTTCAAGCTGATTGAAATTGATTCGAAGCAAGTGAAAATGAGATAGACTTTTCCCCCTCAAGCCCTTACTCATCTGTCTCCCATCGTTGTTGCTTCACCACTCATTCATATGACCAAATCTTTGGTTAACGGTGGAAATACTTGTCTTCACATATCAACAATAACTCACACGTGAGAAGCGTTTACGTCGTCTATCACTGGCTATCATCACTTCTCAAATACTTCTCAAATCGGAAAATCATAATAAAGAGTTAGTTTGGTAAGTTAAGGTTGTGATTTATATATTTGATGAGAGAAAAGTGTTTATTTCAAAGCAGTGAATAATGTACATGACTGAGAGTTTCATTAAAATTAGAGTTAAAATTGCCTGTGTACTCCAACTGATCAATATGAACGGGATTGTGACCTGTAAGGGGCAAGAGAACAAAGTGGAAGTATGAGACATAACAAGACGTAGTAGATTATGTGTAGTGTAGTGTAGTGTGGTGTAGTGCATGTGAAAATCATAGATTAGATAAATACTGATTTAATTGAAGAAGGTGTAGATACGTGTAATGTGATGACATCAGACACAGATTATAATTTTGACAACATTCACACAGAGATGTGTTCTCCGCACTAGATGATTCTGTCAACAGCTGGATTCCGGGAGAGAACAAATTGTAAATCCACATTCTACAAACCATATTTGGAATTGTCTCTTTGTATGTATATTAATTATTATTTGGTGAAAGGATGAGAGTTTCAACTGCAACACGACTACTAGTAGCGACTATTTAGTCGATTGATCCCTCCACATTCGTTAGACAACATTCGTATTTTCAACATCACATACATACAAATGATGAAATGAAACTTATATTTCCTCAATTATTATGAATTGTATTCAGTATTTGATTACTGCGATGTGTGACTCAAAGCTGATGAATACGTTGAAGTAGCGGTTCTTTTCTCAGTTCAGGTAATTTAAGTATGCATAGTGGAAATTAGGCTGTGAGTGATCAACGTCAGTAGGATCATATGGATCCCTGAGTTACAGAATAGTTTAATTTGATATTAGTCAGTGTTTTAGAAACTATGAGGCAGAAAATAGGAAGCTACATATGTGAATATCCGCTTACCATCCATCTTCGCTCATATTCCCTCTGTAACCAGAAATATATATATTTATATATATGAATTCCATGAGAAGAATTCTGCCTTTCAAGCGACTGAATATTTGCAATTACGTGTGATAATTTTGAAAGGGTGCCGTGCAGTTCCCTTTTAATGAAGTGAAAAGAATTTTCATGAAATCAATAAGTAAATAACAACAATCATGGCTGTCAGAGTAGCGTCTTTGTGAAGAATTCACGTGATGTTGTTGCACTGGCAGATATTCAACAGGATACGAATTCTTGGTTCCCTTTGGATATAATACATCAGCTGGAAGTTGTAGCAGTTGTAAGTATAACTAGACACTGAGAATCACACACACACCCACAACACTGTTGATAATTCACAGAGTTGAAAACTCTTCAAAGTAATGAAGATGATACATTCTCTGTAAGTCTGTCTATTCATCACAACAGCTCACTAATTATGGATGAATAACTACGATTTCTACTTGCATATACCTGACCATATAAGTGTCAAATCTGTGCAGATCATCTCTCATCTGGTTAGTGGAGGAGAACACAACGGGGAAGGTGGGGTGGGGTGAGAAAATGAATAGATCTCATGCATATCACCTACCTTCAAGCACTACTGGGACATCCGTGTCATTTTGATCTGTAAAGAAATCCACAAAAGACATTATTCATCATGGAATGACTTGTCATCTCTAAATACGTACATACATACACACACAAATGTGTTTTCAAGAGTTATCTACATAACACGCAAAGTAATTCGTCGACGTCTTGTAACTGTTCACCCCAGCCATGCTGATGTCGTCTGATGTCATTCAATGTCAGTGAGATATGTGTACACCTAGAATACAAATATGCTGCATATGATATCAAATCGACGATTGGTTCGTATTCACAGTTGAGTGACTTCCCACTCGTATGTCAGCGAAATGTAATCAGAGTATGATAGAATTCACTAGGTGTGGATTAATTAAATCCAATGAAATAACCTGCCTACTTTCATGAAATCCTCACAACAACACTTGCGGATAGGAGAAGCAAACATGGCGACTGGCCTTATTCAGGTAGGGGGTTCCAGTGGAAAGTCGTGACCAGTAGTGTGCAACAGGTCGGGTATGAGGACAAATACTTGCCGAAGACACTGGCTAACGGTTGGGCTAAATTGTGAATTGGCAGACGTTGGAATTCATGGGACATTGGACCGGGTCCCAGTGGCATAACGGTCTACGAGCTCGCTAGCCTTGTAATTAGAAGGTCTTTGGTTCGAACTCCTGTGGTGTGCACTGTAAAGAGCCCCAAACTAGGACGAAACAGCTGTGCAGTACTCCCTGCAGGTTTTCCAATGGTTCTCTAACCTATGTCAGTTCATGATGAAATCCTGTAACCCATCAACCAAATCCCTACAAACCAATACTCGAAAACATAAAAGTGATAGATTGTATAATATATTAGTAGAAATGTGAGGCTCACTCAATTGAATCTCATCGTGAAATTGAATGTATGCTGAAAATGAAATGGATTGGTTAGAGGGGAAGTGACTTCAAGGTATATCAAAAACACTTGTCGAATGGGCTTTCACTTGGAAGCTTCACAGGTACATTCTGAACATATCTCCAGTTGCTCACTCATTTAGATTCCCCCCTTTTCAAATGTGTGTATGGTTGGCTGTGTGCAAAACTATTGTATCACAGAATAAGTAAGTATTGCTGAGATTGTGAAATCGTATGAATTATATGTAGGGGGAATATGTGGTGATATATGACTTAACTCAATTGGCGAAATGAAAATACATTCTCTCCTCATGAATCGTGTTCAATACCAATGAAGATAGACTACTTCCACTTTTCCAACATTTAGGGCAGAACGTTTCTGTTTACGTGTGTATCAAGGTGGAATGAAAAGCCCAACAATGATTGTTGTCCACATCGTCTCACCTTCACCTTGTCAGCAGTGTCAGTCAAGTGTAGATCGTTCGATACTTCTAATCCCACTGTTTCAGAGTTATCCTCGTCGCTGTGTGTCTACTTTCATTGGTGATAACCTATGTAAATCTTTGATTTATTTATTTACTCATTGATGTGATTAGATCTACCTACTCATATCAATCAACTAGTAGTATATTGACTTAATGAATAAATAGGCTGTTCTTTGCATCCAACAAAATACTGAACTTTGATTACGCTGTGTGTCACCTGTTAATCAGTAAGCAAAATATCACTGACCTGGTCCGAATAAAAGTTTGTGGATACCTGCAGCTGTACATTATAACAGAAGATGATTAGAATTGTGATAATGAACATTTCAATAAATTAAGGACTTATCGAATAACAGTCATTCATACATGCATTAAATGAAACACACTTACACACTTCATTCATCTAAATTCTTCAAGTCGATGACCATGGAATATTTGCAATACGCGAATTCGTCGACCCAAAAGACATCACATCTTGATGAAATTGATGTAGTTTACCTCAAACCTCAACAGAATTCTACTCATCTTGCACAGTTTCGTTGGAATATGTTGGGCAAATAATCAGGAAACCAGTGTTCCAATGTTCCAACACACCATGTGACCACACTCAATGTGAATGTCACTAGAATCAGGTTCTGTTTCAGCCTCTATATTCGACCTGTTTATAAGCAGGTGGAGTGCAGTGTAGCATGCGCCTACTTGTTTTTCACTTATCAGTTTCCGTTAATATTCTCTTAGGTTTCTATGTGTAGAAGTTAACTTTGGTGCTTGACTGACGAAAGCAGTGTTTTGAATCACACTCATTCTCCCTTTTCCATACGTGTCGCTGCATGAAATCGGTTTCAGTAGCCGACACTTCGTCATCAACACTTAAGCTCCTCGTAGAATAAACATTATTATGTCTATTTGTATTGCCTCACATGTCCTGTGTCAATGAGTCTACTCATTCAACATTTTTGCAGTTCACTGTTAAACTAGTGCATCAGTAGCACAGTGGTTAGCATGCTCGCTGACCATGCACATGGTCCGGGGTTCGATTCACGGCTGACGCACTCCTTTGCCTCACTTAGCCAGTAATAAGACTGGTAAAGAGGGAAGGTTGGACATGAGGCTAGCAACTCTATACTGTAAAAATAAACACCACTACAGGAACATAAAGCACTATGATCCATTGGGAAAGTGAAAAAAAAACTATTACACTACATCATTATAACAACAATAAAATCCGTCAACTCACAGACTTCATCTGCGAATGTGTAGAAATCTGTATCTAAAAGACAAATTTGTATTTCAAGCGAAAACTTCGGGAATGGATTGATGATAGCCTATTCTAGTGAATATAGATGTATATTTCACAATTAGCAATTCGTGCGATTGTCCTAGTTATCATAGAAATAGAATGAGGAAAGTCGAATGTAACCTCAATGTAACCTGCTCCAATCACCGTCCAGAAGTAATGCAATCAATCAAATATTCGTCTTCCGTATGAGCAGTACTGACAAGTCTGAATCCACTTGATATCTGTAGGTTGTAAATTGACTATTTCGTTACATATGTACCACTTGTGATTCCACATTGTCTAATTCAAGTTATTTTGAATATAATCGATGTCGTGATGGAGTTCATGAGATGTGTGCATGTGATGTTTTGTTCGTCTGTAAACATTCATGAATACACTTCGGTCAATTGTGATTCAACTCGACAGATTCTCGGAAAGTGATTGATTTGTCTTCAAGTGTCCACCAGAAGTGCAGGTTCTCATGATTACCACCAGTGGGGTTACAACTGATTTCACTCTGTCAATATTTTGATCAGAATCACTGACTGTTGACTCATTTATCAACAGAAGTGTCACTGGTAAGCAGTATGAACGCTGACTTCAGAAACTCTCAAATAACAGTCGATGGAATACTAGGGGATATAACAACTCTGGAAATTCTGTGTTCTACTACACTCACTACTTCTGAAGACTTGAAAATGCTAAATCTAAAGCAAAATAAGTTCTGAGCAATTCGGGATAATATTGCACATGATTTCCGTGATGAATATTCTTCGAGTGATGGCAAAAATATAAACGAACAATATTGTGTTTTTAATTAGATCTCATCAGGCTTAACTCTAATATACATAAATTTACAAATAAAAATTCCATCATAAACCAATCATTGTGTTTTGTCTATAGAGTAATAAGATGATGAATATAAACTGTGCAATTAGTCATAATAGTAGTAGTGATAATAATAATAATAGTAATAATAATAACAATCTCATCATTAATAAGGATGGAAAAGTGAGGCAATCTGTGATAACGCAAATAATGAAAAACAGTATGATTAAACGAAAAAATGTTCAGGCGGACATAGTAGTCAATAAAGGCTAATAAAAACAAATGAACCGATTAAGTAATACTAGATTATAAGGGAAGTAAATGAAACACGTTTATAATAAAGATTTGATAAGATGAAGGGATGATAAGCAAGGATGCGTCGGTGGTATAGCGGTTAGGACGCTCACCGACCATGCACATGGCCTGGGGTTCGATCCCCGGCCATTGGACGCACTCCTTTACCTCGCTAAGCCAGAAATAATACTGGCAAAAGGGGAAAGGTTGGGCATGAGGCTAGCATCCTCATACTGTAAATAAATACTGCTACAGAAACTTCAAGCCAATAGCTTGAAACCCTATGTTCCACTGGGAACATGAAGGAGAAAAATGATAATAAAGTGGTTGAAAATATAAACCAGGGTGGTGTAGAATTTACTAGTTGGTTACGTCTTAATAGGCCAACAGGGTAGGGATAATGACTGTACGAACTTCTTTTGAATGCACAGTTTAGGTTTAATAGTACGAATGCCTATCACCTGTCTCAGCTGTGTGCAGTAGTCAAATACGAAGTCTATTGGAAAGATTCGGTGGGATACGATGAATTACTTTGAAGGCTTTCGTTTTCTCCAATACATGACCACTATCAATTAAATGTGACAAAAATTGAGCTACGGATTGTTTTTGTCTGTCCTTTGCCAAACCACACGTTGGCTAAGCTGTCTAGTAGTACGTGCAACATAACTGCCACCGTAGGTGCAGTTGTATTGATAAATACACATAGATATAGCAAAACTATCAAGCTTATCCTTCGTTTGCGTCCCAATCATTGGTCGGCTAGAGTATGATAAACATAGGTATGCTGCGTAAAATGTTCTTCGTATACTCCTTGAAAGTCTTTCGAATAGAATCTCACTAGATAAGTCACCATTAAATTGTAACTTAATAAATAGAGGTTTCTTACGTGCAATCAGAGTCTCGGGGCTTTTCCCTGATGTTTTCATATGTTTTTTATGAAACTAGTCGGATAGCCCATCTCCGCCAAGGAATCGTGCATATATTCAAATTCCTTTCTCAGCCTTATTATTGATAAGACCATTATTATTACTATTATTATTATTATTATTGTCATTAATACTATTATGACTAATTGCACAATTTATATTCATCATCTTATTATCCTATAGACAAAACACAATGATTGGTTTATATTTGAATTTTATTTGTAAAGGTATGTAGGTATATTAGAGTTAAGCCTGATGACGTCTAATTGAAACCACAATATTGTTCGCTAAAATGTGTTGTTCTGAAAATGTAAGCAACACGACTATGGCTTACCATTTTCGAATTCTTCATCACCTATTGCCTGTTCGTCTATAAAACACACAATTATACGCAGTACATATTAAAAGCATTCAGAGAATATTTACTGATGTTCAGAATGCATGCAAATAAAATACTGTCAGTCACATGTATGCTCTTAGGTATGTGAGACAGTCAAACATGTATAACCAAAGATGCGTTGAACTTGCCTTCGTAGGAGTACACTCATGATATGTGAGTGTTGAAAGCATAACTCACCTTGCGTCTCTTCTATTCGATTCCCTGACGGGGCTTAAAGTAAACACAAAGTACATCAAGTGAAGCACACACCACATAATTTTCATATATATTACTGAGAATTTATGTGTGGATTGCAGTTCTGATTCCGCTTTGCTATATCCATGAAAGGATATTCTTTGGTGAGAAAAATTGAATACTGCCTCATCCTGCGGGTGGTCATCCATACATCCAGAATGGTTTACTTCACTCCTACATCGAGTCTCGCTGTTCACATCAGTCAATATCAGATTTGTGTTCCATAAAGTGGTTGTTTAATCTCTCATTCTTCCTCAAAACAATCTTGTGTGAATGATCGTCAACCAGATTGGTGAATTCGAAGGATGACAATGTCATTGTGTGTTTTATCAAACACAAAATGTCACCACCATCTGTCAATCGAGTGTTACACCTTATGAAACTTCTCAGTGCTTCGTGTTCAACAATATATAATTAGAAGTTTTGTGAAATATCAAAGTGACACGATTGATTGGCAAACAAACATTGATTAGAGGAAAGGCAAGCATAAAATTTATCGTAACTCACCAGCACTTCCACCAGAGATAACCAAGCAGGTGACGAAGCAGATCAAGTAAACGAACTTCATGTTGCAGTGTGAGTTTCACGTTCATGGTTATGACTTTTTATACCGTTCAGGAGTGAACAGCCAGCAAATGAGAAACACTGTGGGTAATTATTGACAACGACTTTTAGTTCATTATTTTCTCATACAGCCGTACAGAAATGATTGTTTACATTGTGTACCTGGGTTGATGGTAAGATTTGTGCAGGTCAAGGTCAAGCTAATTTATAATGAAGTAGCAATTTGTAAAGAATTATTCTAATTGTTTTTTCTTTATCAACAACTGCCTTTCTCGTAAGTTCACATAACTGAGTGTTCTTCACAAAACCCAAGACACATTATTTATTAATTAATTTATACTCACGATACTTCTCATCTCTGTGATGATTTATCCCATCTCAAAATGATGGTTTGTCATTCATGTTTGTGAGCACAGCATGAGTTCATTCGATCACTGTTCTTTAGTTTTGTTTTGTTTTTGATGTAGTGATGTGGTGATGGCATGTGGGGCACGAAGACTGGTGCACAAGAGTGCACTGCTGAACACTGGCATAACAGGGATACACACTATGCGGATTCATTACAGAACTACTCATCGTTTGTGAGTTCCGCCAATGATAGTGACTATTCGTTAGGTCAACCATTGCTTGTAGATGGAGACCTGCTTCCAGAATACATTCAGAAAATACGAAAGCATAACGACGACAACGAAAAGGAATTGGAATATTCATCGTTAACTGATGATTCCTGATTTCTATAAGCGAAGAGATGCCATTTCCGTGCATAGTAAACATTCTAACGTCTGATTCACAGAATTGTTATTCCACTGATAATAAAGTCTCTTGTAGATAATTTTCATTCTTGTCACCTTGAGACTGAACGGATGAAATCAACAGTACGCCAAACATCGTGGTGAAGTGTTGTTGGTTGCTAATACGAGAAGATCGAAGAGCTTCTACATTCTTCTGAATAAAGTATGTTATGACTGCTATGTGACTGTGAAATTGATCGACTGCCTTTTGTCAAACATTATGGCGTATTTGTTCATGCTGACTGGTCATATCATGCTTGAGCTGTTGTGAACTTCTCTTCCGGATAGCCTTAAGTGATATCTCTTCACAATACTAGCGGAAAACTTAGTCAAACAGTCGTGGAAACGATTCCCAGTGGAGAATGAATTCCTGCCTGCCTACCTCAGTTACCGATAATACCAATCACTTCACTGATAACAGCGATTGGCTGTAAAGTATTGCTCACCGTTATCTTCACGCATACTAATGTCATCTTCAGTCACTGAGTTGGCAGGACAGGGTCATAGAATTGGTGAATTCTACAAGCCACAAGACACTGTTTGAAGCATCGCAAGGCTTAGCACACAACCACTCATTGAAGTCTTGTCTTAAACCTGTTGAAATTTCAAATTCTTCAAAATTCTCTAGTCATTACAACTTCATCTAATGTGCATTGTCATAAGGGAAGTGATTCTGAGGCGTCTATGGGAGTTCTGCTGAAGAATATCAAGTCGAATGATGACGGTTCTGGAGCTAGAAGACAATTTCGTTCCCACAGTACACCTGACTCTGCTCACAGCTAATCAGTTATGGGACTTGAATGATACTTTTAATAATCTCCATAATAATTCTCATTTTGTAGACTAAATGAAAATACATCCCAATTGATGCTGGTGAAAATAACAATTCAGAACCAGTTAGAAATTGCGATAGTCTGGTAAAGCGACCGAGAGAAATTTGAGGCACACTAGATGTGGTGAACAACTGTCTCCATTCATGTACTATGTAAAAATATCTATCATCGTCATTTGTCTCCCAGTAATTCTACTGATCATGATCCATCTGTGGAATATAAATTTCTCACTTCTATTTTCTGTGCACTGTATTCTAGTTAGCTGCTAGCCGGTTAATGTCACTCACGTCTGCACATAAAAATGAAAATGTGTGCGAATGAGGTGTGCGTCAAGATGATAAGATCAAACCATATAACACTGTTGACCACACAGATACTCAAAAAAGTTAGGTAGGCACTCGCTAACCGTTTCTCAAGCAAAGTATCGCAAAACTCGATGCAGTTCATACTCACTTCTTACTTCATCAGTTCACACTAGTTCACACAGTGTTTAACCACTCTGCATGCATTGCGTGCAATGCAGCTTCAATAATGAATGATACTGGTTCCGCCGAGGGAAAGAACAAGGTTTTCGCTGGGTTGCCTAGACAAGACATCATCTAAGAGGGCACCAAGAAGCAAAATATCCTGGTCTTTACTGTTATTTCAGGAGTGTCAGCATTAAAATTCTCCGGAAAAAATTCACATCGGAGGAGAAAAGCTCACAGTTTGTTCGGACTAATCTCATACACTCTCTTTTGAAATTAAACTATACCAAACCACGTGTATTCTGTATTTTCGTGTTTTGGCTGGCTCACACATTCCTGTCAGAGTTTTGCCACGTCCACAAGTACACCGATTAATTATTGCCACAAAAACACATAGTAGTCACTATTCTATTGTTATTTATTATAAGTAACTCTCTGATAAATTAATTTAGTCAAATTGTTCATCTTTTAATAAAACAATACAATCTTTTGTGAAAATACTCTCACTGCTTCATTTATGAGTACTACCATCTCGTGAGAAATTCCACTCACTCAAGCACTCATGACCTCAGCCTACGCATACAATTGTTCATACGTGTCTAAACAAACTTTATTCAGTATTTAAAAACAATTAGTCCCTTTTAATAAATTCTAATTTGTCATTTAGCGGACAAATTTCACACGATGATATCAGCATTTCATAGTTTCTTTATAACCGCTTAACAGCTTACATGGTTCACGATATTCAGATAAAATGCATTGCAATTACTCAGTTATATAAAACAAAATTACATACTAATTACTCTGTGTGCTTTATACTACTTGAATCAATCAATATCTGTTATGTTGTGGCTGCGTTGCTTGAAATAATCCACAGTTATCAATACGTTCCATTTTCATGTTGACCAAATTAGTTGAATATAGTCTGAGTCTTTTTTTCTGTCGTCTCTTTGTTCAGCGTTCTCAGTTAATGTAAATAATCTGGTGTCAGTCAGATCACCTTTGATCGCCATAGTTGACTAATATTCTGTTTCAACATTCTTCCTCGTCTTCAGCTTCATTTGAAGTGCAGTAAAGCATTATGTTATTCTTCACAATTTTGTTTGTTCTAGGTGCTACAAAATGGAACTTCAGAGTTCGCTTCAAAATAAAAGAACACAGGATAAGACTGGTGCAATGTGGTGGAATATCATTCCATTGTATGTAAATTGTGTTTTCATAAAGTCTTACAATGTTATACAGTTAGATTTACTGATGACCACGTTTCCAGCACAATTTATTACTGCAGCTCAGAATTATGCCACATCAAGACACTACTCACACAACTTTCTAGCTTTGATTATACAATTCCACTACTTTCCATCACTTGATTTGATTGGTATTAGCATTTTCCATATTTCCAGTATGAGTGATGAATCATTCCTATTCCACGTGTTGGATGCAGACTCAGTAATCAACCCGTTCTCTCCACCTACCTAGATTACTTCTTAGAATTTTAGCCCTCTCTCACCCACCCTATTGTGTGGTTGTGTGTTAAAGCATGCAGTGCAATGCAGTGCTGAACTTTTCTCTAAATCACTTATATTCTCGGGGTCAACCCTTCTTACCTTAGCCACTAAAATCTTATGTTCCGACAATGTGACTACCCATACCCACTAGTTTGATTCATGTAGTTAACCTCACAGCTACTGCAGGCTATTTTGTTAATTATATTATTCGTCTGATTGGGTCAACTGGGTCCTTCAACCTACAGAGCTTGTCCTTGAGTGAGTATGTCGGTTTGCATGCCACCCTAATTCCTTCTTTGTTAAGAATCCTACGTGGCATCTCAGAGGTGTCCCCTCTTATTTATGTTATGTCATTACTAGTTTCACAATTATTTTATTTTACTTTTGGCCTTTCTTGATCTTCATAATGAATTTTATGGGATAGTTAGTTATTTAACACCAACACCGCTTCTTCTATCTGTTTTATTTCATCATTTAGGTCTTTTTCATACCACTTAATTCTACTGCTCAATTTGTTTGACACTTAACTAAGTCTGCCTTCATAGACAGATAACGGATGAATTAAAGTCTAAATAACTATTAGCAGAATTCGTTAGTTTTTTTATAAACACTAGTGTGCAGTTAACCTTTTTCTGTTTGTTTTATTTTACAATCTAACATAGCTAGCTGATTCTCCGTGTTCATTTTCCGATTCAAATGTGAATTCTATTCCCTTTACTAGTGATTTTATGTGTGTGAAGAAGCTGGAGAGAGATATGCTCTGTTATTGACACAGTGAATGAAAGTGTCCTCCACATATCTCCATCATATTACCCTTGGAGTAGGATTAAATGTTGTGTTAAGAGGAATAGTTTCCCAGCTGTCCATATAGATATCTGTCACGATAAAGGATATTGAAAAGGATATTATGAAAGCAGATCAAAAGCGGAAGACATGATGATAAAATTCAATTCATGCCATCCAAATCTCAATTTCACAGTAGAACACGAGGAAAACGATACTATTAAATTTCTAGACGTTCTTCTAGCCAAAATGAATGATGGCACAATCGAAAGATCTATATTTAGAAAGTCTTCATGGACAAGACAGTACATGCATTTCAAGAGCTTTGTTCCAATCCAGTACAAAAAGAACTTAGTCAGAACACTTTTCAATAGAGCACGGAAAATTTGTTCTGACAGTACTATTGAACAGGAAATAAAATCTCTGAAGGATATTTTATCTAAGAATGGATATCCTGAAAAGTTCATTAATAAATACTCTAAAGAAACTACCCCTTGCAAAACAATTCAAACAGTTCCAAAGAAACCTGTCTATATCAATTCGCCATTCAAAAGAGATGACGTACAGGAAGTAGTGAAACGAAGACTCGACAAAGCCATCAAGAGAACTTATTGTGCTGCAA